TCAAAGTGCTCCCTTTTAGGTTGCAGGAGGTGCCCACTTTTTAATGCAGCTGATTAATGAGGTCCTCCATGAGCACCTGTACAAGGGGTTTTTGGTGTACTTGGATGACATCCTAATCTATACCGAAATGAAAGAGGAACATGTCAAATTAGTCAGAGCAGTTCTAAATAAGCTCCACGTAGCCCGGCTCTACACCAAACTTTCAAAATGCGAGTTCCATACAGAAAAAATTGACTATTTGGGCTAACGTATTTCCCATAAGGGAGTGGAAATGGATCCAGAGAAAGTGTGGGCTGTATTGGAGTGGGCACCGCCATGCACCAGGAGGCAATTGCAAAGCTTCCTGGGTTCGCTAATTTCTATCGGCAATTCATCCCCTCCTTTGCACAAATTGCACTCCCCATTACCAACTTGTTAAAAACGAAGGGACAAGCCAAAACCTAGACAGCCATTGAAATGGACTATGGAATGCCAGGTGGCATTTGAAAAATTAAAAAGGCCCTGCCATATGGTTATCATGTCAAAGCTGCAGTATCTCTTCCTGGCAGATTAGGGAACTACTATTCTGCCTCTCTGTTTCAGGACACCTGCCTCCATCGCAAAACAGATGACAGTACCTGCTGGGGTCTCCTTGAGGTCATCTATCCCGGACTGTGAGAAATGATCTCATTGTTGCTGTTCCTTTCCCTTGGTGATTAAGTTCTGGTGCAGTTGGGCAGCTCCCAACCTCTCAGTGGCTGGTGGTGATTGGTGAAACTGGAAATTGGAAGATTGCAGAATTGTTGGTGCTAGAATCTGTTGAACAAGGGAATATTCTGGTTTACGGGAGAATGCATCTGGCATTAATTTCTTGGAGCCTGTGAAGTACTTATTGTAAAAATCAAAACATAAGAATTGACTCCATCTAACTTATTTGGATGAAAGTGGCTTGGTTGTTGCACAGTATAAAAATTCTTGTCAGTGTTGACCACTATAGAAAAACATGCATTTCTAAGAAGTGTCTCTAGTTCTGGAATGCTGATTTAACAGCAAGGAGTTCTTTATTAAAATGTCATAATTGTGTTCTGGAGCCCTCAGGACTCTGGAAAAGAAAGTGCATGAAAGAAGGCTGTTGTCTCCCCCTCTCTTGTAAGAGAACAGTTCAAATGGCTACATCTGGAGCATCTTCTGGACAGCAAATCTCTTGGATGTGTCTGGGTGCTGAAGGAGGGGCTGGCAAGCAAAAAGCTGATTGGTGTGTAGGCATTCAAACAAATTTAATTCCCTTCTTAGTCTATTGTGTCAATGGTTTTGCTTTATGAACAAAAAGCAAGCCAAGGAAATGTTGGATATCTTTGACTGAGCGAGGGGCCAGCTACAGCTTTGGACCTTCTGGGGGGACATCTAGATGCCTCTCGTGGAAATACAGTAGTCCAAGAAGTCAAGCTGTTGCAAATCAAAGACACATTTTTCTAGCTTGGCAAAGAGGTGGTTTTCTCTTAGCCTAGTGAGGACTGTGCACACATGGTCCGTGTGCTGAGTCTCATTTTCTGAGTAAATTAAAATATCATCTAAATATAAAACAACAAATGTATCAAATCTTGAAAAATCTGGTTCATGAATCTGGAAAATATGGCAGGGGCATTGCAAAAGTTGTTATGTATTTGTGATTTTCTTTTATTTGAATAAGGTTGTAAGCATTGCGAAGGTCTAGTGTTGTAAAAATGCTTGCTTTCTGTAGTCTATCTGGAATTAACAACAGCGGATAATAGTCTCTTACTGTGATGGAGTTCAAGACCTTAAAATCATGGACCACTTGCAGGGGGCATTTGTCACAGTTATTAGGCCCACTGAATCTGGCTTCTAGGGAACAAAGAAGGTGGGAGCCAAGGCAGGGGACTGGGAGGGTCTTATGAATGTCTTTTTAAAATTGGAATCCAAATATTGTTTCAAGGTTTCTACTTCTGTAGTAGATATTTGATATTGTGTCTTGGCAGGAATTTTGCTACCAGGGACCAGGTCTATGGCACAATTACAGTCTCTATGTGGAGGGAGGGCCAGGGCTTCCTCCTCCCCAAGCATATCAGCGAAGTCTGCTTATTTACTTGGCAGATTGGGAATCTTTCTGTGAACCCTTGGAGTGGCCTGGGGATTGCAGTGTGAAAGGCATTCAGGATTTTTAAAGGCAATATGGAATCGTGGTATTGTAACCATGCGGTTCCCAGCACTATTGAAAGATCTATATGTTCAGCTACAAAGAGAGTTAACTCTTCAGAATTCTAATTTATTGTTAGCTTCAAAGGCACTGTGACATGAGTAACAGGGCCTGGTGTTAAATTTACACAAAGGCCTGACATATTCTTCATGCCAATATTTGTTTTATCCTTTCATTGGAACCTGCCTAGGTTTTTGTTGTTGTTGCATATCTGTTGTCCCAACTGAAATACAGGTAGTCGAGTTAAGAATGTAATGGAGCCTGCCCATTCTATTTATAACTTGAGAATTCATAGGAGTGAATGGCGTACCTTGAATGCCATCATTCCCTGCTTTTGCCCACGCATTGGCTAATCAAATGTGTGGGTTGTTAAACACACATGGGTAGGGAAGGCCATGGGGGGGGGGGGTTGTGATGGAACAGGCCACCTGCTTCAGAGCAGCCAAGACCTCAACCTACTGAGGTACCTCATTCTCCCCACAGTTGCTTCCTCCCTCATCCTGCCACAGGGGACTCACCTTGTGAAGAAATAACAAGCTGTCTCCTCTTCAGCTGTCTCCTCTCCAGCCTCTCTGCCGCACAACATCACGGTGGTGAGAAACTTCCAGTTTTGCCACCCAAAGTGTTTGTAAGCTGAGCGGAAGTCTTTGGGTGAGGGAAATCTCTGCCTCAAAGCATCCGCTCAGCATGCAAACACTTTGGGTGCCGAAACTGGAAGCTTCTAAGCACTGTAATCTCAAACGGAGGCTGGGAGTGATGTGCATCAATCTGGAGATCTGTTCTCGGCAGCAAAGCCTTTTTGCAAAGATGGCAAAAGGCTTTGCAAACAGAGGGAAGGCTTTAATGTTATAGGCCTCCTTTCCATTTACAAAGCCTTTTGCTGCAGATATCATCCAGGCCTCCATTTGCAGAGAACAAAGGCCTAAAGAACTGTGAGATCACGCGAGATCAGTAGCACGAGATCTCACACTACTGCTCTCATGTGATCTCACAGTACTTTAGGCCTCCATTCTCTGTGAACACACTGAAGGCATGAAGCAGCAAAACAGGCCAAGAAATGAAGGCTCTCTAGATTTTCACAAGGTGAGTATCCACAGGCCTAGTACCTATGGAAACCCGGTGGCGTGGGGTGGACAGATTAGGCAAGGCGAATGTTGCAGTGCCTCTGCAATCGTTCGTATGGGTGAACAACTGCTGTGGTGCTGCAATATTCATAATTTTGGGACTTTTTTGTAAACACTACAGGGTGCTTATCGTGTAATTTCGAACATTTGCTAAGGGAATGTTTGTAACTTGGAGATTACCTGTACTCTTTACACTCACTGAATTTTGGCAAAATAGTTGCTTTCTGTCCATAAAGCAGAATTACTTCATAAGGACCATCTTTTCTTGCTCTGATATTAGGAATTGAAGAAAGAGTGCCCTGTAACCTCACTATTTTTCAAAATAAATTAGAGGGATCTTACTTGACAAAATGGAAGTAATAAAAACATTCAGAGGAATAATGTAATGTAAAGTTATAAACTAAACCTCAGTGTAGTTAAATAAAGTAGATTTTAATAAACCCCATAATAATTATAAATAGAAGTATATGGCAGGAGAAACAAATAAAAAAGTTCTTGAACTTAATCAAATATTATCATACTTCACTTTTTTAAAGATATTTTTATTCTGTCTTCCCTTATTTTTATAAATAACACAAGGTGACAAACATACCTAATATTCTTTCCTCCTATTTTGTATACAGCAAACAACCCTGTGCAGTGCATTGGGCTGAGAGAATATGATCGATCTAAAGTCACCCAGCCAGCTTTCTTGTTTAAGGCAGGATTAGAACTCACAAGTCTCCTGGTTTCTAGCTTGATGTCTCAGCCCCTAGACTAAATTGGCTTTAAAACTTAACTTTATCATTAATTAAAATAATGTTTCTCAAACTGTGAGCTATGACTCTCCATAAGGTTCTAAGCAAGGGATGCAAGGTCACTAGAAATATTCCAAGCAGGCTTAGCAGTTGGATATATCCTGAATATAAAGCAACTTGAGATTCCATAGCACTTCATGAACACCCAATAGGTTTGTTTGTTTGACCATACTATGTTTATCTTTCAAAGTAGTAATCATACCAGGAGATTATGAGTCTTCTATGCAAAGTTCTTTCTGTCTGACCTGATGCTTAGGACAGAGGGAAAGGGGCATTTTAGGATGTCATAAATTCTTAAAAGTTTGAGAACCTTTGCTTAAGATAATTTATTCATTACTCTCTCCCCAAACTTTGAGACTATCCCACCTGCTTTGAGATTTTTACAATTTTTAAGTAGCATATTTTAAGTAAGTGAATAAATAACAAACATTGATACTGCCAAAATCTAAGAAAATATTTAGATAGGTTTGGTTTGAGGTTTGGTTTGAGTTTTGTTCTGAAGGCTACTGAAAATTATTTTGAGACTTACAATGATCATTAAGTTTTTGTTATGGTCAAAAGTGAAAAATATTTTAGGTTATAATAACTAAACAAGTATTTTTTATATTTAGTATTTACTTTTACTAAGCATTTATTAATTTGGCTTTATTTCATAAATACAACCTCATTGTTAATCTAGTACAAAATTAATATAATTAGCTGTGCTTCTGTCTTTAAAAATAACCTATCTTGTATATGGCTTAGAAATTTTAAACTTCCAGAATTAAATCAAGCAAACCATAAAATTTAAAATGTTATATTCATTCATAGTTTTTCATAGTCTTTTCAGTGGAGCTATGTTCTGACTCTCTTGAGTTTCATTCAGATGTTGCCAAAATCAAATGAAGCTTCCCGTCAGCATGAAAGCCATCCAGAAGAGACTGAAGAAGAATTAAGAGAACATCAGACATTTTTGGAAGACCAATACATTGACAGTACAGCAAAACATAAGGAAATTCAAGGATTGACCCAAATGGTCCACGTGAAGCAAGAACCTGCTGAAAGTGATGAAGATGGAGAACAACAAGAATTGGGACCAGGACAAAGGCAAGCAGAGCAAGAACTGCTCTTCAGACAGGTAGAATACATTAAATAACAGCATTTATTAGTTAGTGTATAGTTTCCAGAGGCTTGTATATTTATTATTCAGTCATTCTATATAGAAAGAACAGCTGGGTTGACACAACACAGTATATCAGAATGTGACTCTTTTATTCTGACATTGTATTCTGTGCAAACCCAACCTATTTGCTTTTATTTAAAAACCTATAGAACAGAAGTTTCAAATTCCTGAGTATCAAGTGGGTTAATTATAGAACATAACTACATAAAATTTTAATGCCAAGAATTAGGATTCAAGAATACAGAATCCTTAGAACTGATATAGACTAATGTAAGGTTATGCCAACTCTTGATAATTTCAGTTCAGAAGAGATGTATTTAATTTGCTGCTTCTACTATAAATGTGAGAATGTTGATCACATTTGTCTACCTTTCAAGTGTTTCATTTTTTATTCTTCATTGTCTTCTTCATGTCTGAAGTAGAAGTTTGTCTTTACTTTCAAAAAGAATACATGATAGTTGTCCCTGTACAGAGAAGTATAACGATTCAGTTTTCATTGAAAAATGCAATAATATAAATTGCAAGATTGTTCTTCTTTTTCATAATGTGCATTATATTCAAAACCATTCTTAATGTATATTAAGGCAGAGTGACCTTGTACTTTGCTGTACTTTTCATCCTTTGAAACAGTTAACATGGATTATTTTGAAGAGATTAAGATTGAGCAAATTTTAAGGAAAAATAAAATATGTGTGTGAATTGTTAATAATTCTGTTTCAGTTGAGAAAAAAATTGTCATGATATAAAGAACTTCGTACATAATTACATTTAGCACTACTTAATTACTTTGAATCTCTTCAGTGTCAAACTTGTGTCACAAGAAAAAATGTAGTTGGTGGTCAACCAAACTGGACAATATTCTTTCTACAGTGCAGGCAGACCTCAATTTACAACCATTCATTTAGTGACCATTTTCACACTTAATGACTATTGCAGCATCCCTGTAGTCATGTGATCAAAATTCAGACACTTGGCAGCTGGCATTTATTTGTGATGGGTCATTGGTCACCCTTTGCAACCTTCTGATAAGCAAAATTAATGGGGAAGCCAGATTCATTAACAGCCATGTTACTAACTTAACAACTGCAGTGATCCACTTAACAACTGTGGTACTGTGACGGGATAGATCATAAAATGGAGCAAAACTCACTTAACTGTCTTGTTGATTACTGGAAAGTTTGGGCTCAATTGGGTTGTAAGTCGAGGACTGCCTGTATTTTCTTCAACTCAATATACAGTGTTGGATTCATATTAATTTTTACAATGTTTTCCTCATTTTCTGTACCTAATTATATATCTAGAACTCTTTTTCTGTCTTTAACCCTTTTTGCCTTTTTTCTCCTTTCTTTTGCTTTCTTTGTTACCATAAAGATGGTTAAAATATTGCTACTTTATTCCAGTTATGGTCCATCATTTAAAGGTGATTCTTGAGTCAGCTGGATATTTCTTCAGTTGGATATTTTGTAGTTTAGAATTCAATGACTTATCCAATTTGCTTTTAGAAAAATTGAGGATGAATTATCTCTTAACTCTCCAATTTCAGACAAACAATCAACTTTTACTATGAAAATTTTATTTGAGAGGTCGTTGGTGCTCTCTGAGATTGATTGTTTTCTTGCAGACAGTTTATTATTTAAACTAAGTAACATCATCATGATCAACATATTGGCTAATAAAGCAAATGGCTAAAAGACTATTATGAAGTAATTGTTCAAAAACAAAAAATAAGAGATTTGTAAAACAAGTCTTCAAACAATGACACATTTTATGCTCCCTTATAGCAAACTCTTCTACTGGAGCAGCAGCGCATTCATCAGCTCAGAAACTACCAGGCATCCATGGAAGCTGCTGGCATTCCTGTATCCTTTAGTGGACATCGGCCACTTTCTCGAGCTCAGTCTTTACCTGCTTCTGCCAATTTTCCATTATCTACACAAGAGACATCGTGTAAGCCACAGTTCACAACAGGTAATATCTGGGGAAAATATCTCTTGGAATAATGGCAGCCCAGCTCTCTTACATAATTTTGCTGGAGTTCCCTGGATGAGGAAGGTCACAAATGCAGCAGATGCTTTGCTAAGCATTCTAGCAAAACATCATAAATGCATTGGTCCAGAAGTGGGGTTGCCTTGTGTGGTGACTGGATGTTCTTGGCAAATGTCCTTTGATTGATAGTGAGATGTCTTAATTTTGTTTCAGTTAGTACTTGTAGGAGCAGAATAGGTTTTCTTGAGACCAAATTGTCATAAGTAGTTTTGCTGCTACTCACATCCTGACAGAATGTGAGGTGCCTGGCAAGGATCTGTTGGAAAAGAAAGGGGGAGGGCAACAGAAACGAAATCCTCTAAGTCTGTATACCTGGGATTATCGAGTCCTTTGGGGAAATGATAATATAAGGAAAATGCAGAAATATTTTGGCCTAGATTATAAAGTGAAGGGTCTAGCATTAAAAATGTGTGTTTATGTATTTATTTATTTATTTTTTAAGACTTATATGCCGCCCTTCTCCCCACGGGACTCAGGGCGGCTCACAGCATATTAAAACAACATAGTACATTTCCCCAATAAAAGCCAATTAAAAACCAAATATTTGTAACTGTGTCTCTTATTAAAATCATTAAAAATTATCCCTATTTAAAATTCACCCTAGGTCAGTCCCGCTTGCTGAAAAAGCCATGTCTTGAGGGCGCGGCGGAAGGTTAGGAGATCCGGAATCGTCCGGATCTCGGGGGGTAGCTCGTTCCAGAGGGTGGGGGCACCCACAGAGAAGGCCCTCCCCCTGGGGGTCGCCAGCC